AGGCCCCGTTGGCGGGGAGCGGCGGGAGGAGACTAGAGGCCACTCTCCGAGGAGCCCGGTGGCTTTCCCAGCCCGAGAGACCCAACTCCTGAGCGGGCTCTTCAGGAGGAATTGACAACATGGCTTCCCCACCGCACCAGCAGCTGCTGCATCACCACAGCACCGAGGTGAGCTGCGACTCCAGCGGGGACAGCAACAGCGTGACGGTGAAAATCAACCCCAAGCAGCACCAGGGCTGCTCCTCTTCCAAGCACTGCAAGTACAGCATCTCCTCCAGCTGCAGCTCGGGGGAGTCGGGGGGCACCCGCCGAGCCGGCGGAGGTGGCAGCAGCGGCCCCGGCCTCCGCCGGCCGAAGAAGCTGCCGCAGCTCTTCGAGAGGGCCTCTTCCAAGTGGTGGAACCCCAAGTTCGACTCCAACAACCTAGAGGAGGCTTGCATGGAGAGATGCTTCCCGCAGACCCAGCGCAGGTTTCGCTATGCCCTCTTCTACATCGGCGTGGCCTGCCTTCTCTGGGGCATCTACTTCGGCATTCACATGAGAGAGAAACTGATTGTTTTCATGGTGCCGGCTCTGTGCTTCCTCTTGGTATGTGTAGTGTTTTTTGTGTTCACTTTCACTAAGACTTATGCCCGCCATTACGTATGGACTTCGCTGATACTCACCCTCCTGGTTTTTGCTTTGACTCTTGCTCTGCAGTTCCAGACTCTGAAACCTATCTCAGGAAGTGGTGACACGTCCAATCAGACTGCCCCGGCAGATCCCACTGACACTTGTCTTTCTCAAGTAGGCAGTTTTTCTATGTGTATTGAAGTGCTCTTGTTGCTTTACACGGTGATGCACTTACCCTTGTATTTAAGCTTGTTTCTGGGACTGTCTTACTCGGTCCTCTTTGAGACCTTTGGTTATCACTTCCGTGATGAGAACTGTTTTACACCTCTCGGAACCGGTGCGGTTTACTGGGAGCTGTTGAGTAAAGCCTTCCTGCACATCTGCATCCACGCCATTGGTATTCATTTATTTATCATGTCCGAAGTCAGATCGAGAAGCACGTTCCTGAAAGTGGGGCAATCCATCATGCATGGAAAAGACTTGGAAGTGGAAAAAGCCCTGAAAGAGAGGATGATTCATTCTGTTATGCCAAGAATAATAGCCGATGACTTAATGAAGCAGGGGGATGATGAAAGTGAAAACTCCATCAAACGTCATTCCACCTCAAGCCCCAAAAACAGGAAGAAGAAGCCCTCCATACAGAAAACCCCCATAATATTCCGTCCCTTTAAAATGCAGCAGATAGAGCAAGTGAGCATTTTGTTCGCAGATATTGTTGGCTTCACAAAAATGAGTGCCAATAAATCTGCCCACGCTCTGGTGGGACTCCTGAATGACCTCTTTGGACGTTTTGACCGTCTGTGTGAGGACACTAAATGTGAGAAGATAAGCACTTTGGGAGACTGTTACTACTGCGTAGCTGGCTGCCCAGAGCCCCGGGCAGATCATGCTTACTGCTGCATCGAGATGGGCTTAGGAATGATTAAAGCCATTGAGCAGTTTTGCCAAGAGAAAAAAGAAATGGTGAACATGAGAGTGGGTGTTCATACTGGGACAGTCCTGTGTGGCATTTTGGGAATGAGGAGATTCAAGTTCGATGTGTGGTCCAACGATGTCAATTTGGCCAATCTGATGGAGCAGCTCGGGGTGGCTGGAAAAGTCCATATTTCAGAAGCCACTGCAAAATACTTGGATGATCGTTATGAAATGGAGGATGGAAGGGTGATTGAGCGAGTTGGTCAGAGTGTGGTAGCCGACCAGTTAAAAGGTACATGCTGTTTTTTTTTTTCTTTTATAAGGGAATATATTTTCCCTGGTGCATGTTTTGTGTTTACTGACTTGCAAACTGAACACTACATTTAACTCTGCATGCTGGTGATCAGATACGCCATGGGAATTACAGAATAAAAAAATGCTACAGAGATATGCATGAAAGATCTGGGGTACTCAAAAAGTACTTAGACTTCAGAACTCCTTAGTGCTCCTTGTGAGAGTATCACATCATAGGGAGGAGAAGGTTAATGTGTTTGCTATCTGCAAGAGGTTTGTGTTTTACTGTTGTGTGTCATCCTTTAATTCAGTAAGTAAACTTGTTAATTGACTTCATGTGCCATACATAGAGCATATGTGTTTTGCAAAATTATGTATATCTGTGAAAAGTTTTTTTTGGCATTGGGAGAGTTGGGACTGCGAAGGCATTTGGGAAAAATGACAGCTGGATTCACAGAAAGAAATGAGCACTGTAGATTTGGCAGTTTGATATAGCAAGTTGTTACAGTTCAAAGTTAGGCTGGAAAAAGTTACTCAGGTGGTTCAGTGAGCTGGCAGATGCTCTGGTTTCTGCAGCTCTAAAGATTTGGGGATGAAACTGCAAATTTGCCCATTGGAAAAGAAAATGAGGGATCTTTCGGTTCCTCTTATGGCTTGGCTAAGGGTCCGATTTTCTCTTTTCTACAGAGTATTCATTTTGAAATGAAACCCTTGACTGCTTTCTAGCAGCACTTGGAAATGCACGCAGAAGGACTGTACATGCTGAGAGTTTAATTGTCTCTTTAGTAAAAGCTGTGTCTCTTTAGTGCTGTGCCTTTGTCTCGCAGAGGTATGGTTGTCTGCGGTGCTTGTAGCCCAAGGTGGGGAGCAGCCAAATCAGAATGGGAGTGGAATATGTTGCCAACCCTCTTATGCTATGTGAGTTTATTTGTTCTGTTTATAAACGTACCTTTTTTATAAAGTAAGCATGGGAAACAGAGTGGAAGAAACTGAAGGACTCATAGGACAGCATTGTGATGGAGGAAAGAGATATTTGTTACAACAAATACAGAATGAGGCCAGGATGGTTGTAGAAAGGTCAGCGAGTAAGGACAGGGACGGGGACAGTGTGATAC